AAAAAAAAAAAAAAAAAAAAAAAAAAAAAAAAAAAAAAAAAAAAAAAAAAAAAAAAAAAAAAAAAAAAAAAAAAAAAAAAAAAAAAAAAAAAAAACTAGTACTACATCCTATGACCTTGAAGCCCAAGTCCATGTAGTTCATAACTGGGCTTGACCCAATTCTCAACACACCAATAATAAACCATTCGGAAAATTGAAAAGGGCTATTACAGTAAATTCATTATGTTCATGCCTGGTCGTGGAGGTAATCTTTATGATATTAACCTTCTTAGCTAGTAAATCTATATTTACGAGAATCCTTGTTATGTCGAGAAGCTACTTGTTCCTCGCGCTTACGGTAATCAAATTCTGATGATCGATGTGAAACAACATAGATGAATCTTCCGTCTTAACGAACAAAACTAATGTGGTCTAGTGGAAACACCCATGTGTATATGAACACGTGTTCAAGTAACCCCATGTAATTGTGACATGGGCTACATTAACTTTACTAGGGCCACTCTATCTATAATCCTATAGGATATGGTTAGATTACTTACTTTACGCTTCTAAGAATGAAAACTATTCTCGCAGATCAACACGAGTCTTTACAACATGTTATGTTTTCACTCATATGAAATAAGCTTAACCATGGGTTTCCTATGATTAAGCCACCGAAAAGGAATGTGCACCATGTTAGTATACGTAGTAACTTTCAATTCTTTTAAACCTTTTTAATCATTCAATTCTAGGATCCCTCTCGTTCGAATGCGATTTTGGTTCATTCATGTACTGCTCTTTTACTTGGGTGTCACACATTTAGTCTTTCAATCGAACTAAAGTCTTTTTCTTACAACAACGATATGGGTTAAACTCTAGTAGTTTGAAGAACCTTAAAAATAAAATGACTTTGAATCTAAACTAAAAACTTACTTCTAACACGTTTTTTTTTTTAGTGACTTCGACTTAGGCTAAGAAGGTAAGTGGGCTTTAGCTTAGGCTAACAAGGTAAGTGGACTTATTGCTAGGACACCTCGAGTTAAGTCGGAGGAATTGTGTGATACATGTACATACATAAGAAGATTAAAAAATGTCGAGAACAAGGTCCGTGTGTCAAGAACAAGGCACAATTGATTTTAAATCTATTTTCCTAGCCACTCAAGCACATCAACCTTTTATTTGTTGGAAAGTATTATTTTTAATTTCATAAATTATGTAAGGGTCAAATGGTCAATTTGACTTCGTCTTTCGTGGAGATTAAAGGAGTTTGGGAATAAATACCAGCTACAAACGTTTTTTTTTAGACTATAAATACCCACAATATGTTATGTAAAAATGAGATTCGATGAATGTAATTCAGATCTCAAATTGAGACGTTTCCCTTAGAAATTCGAGTATCAATTTTGTCATTTCTAAGTTTCAAACAATTCTTGTGATAGAATTGCATCTGAATCATTCAATCAAGTCTTGATCAAATTCGACTGTAGAGTGACTCAAATTAGAATAGATCTTCAATCGTAAGAGGTAATCTAATTATCTCTTGGATGATCCGAATTTTGTATAAGGAGGTGTTAATTACTTTGATTCAAGGGTTATTGTTTCAACAAAAGCTTGGATCGTTCGGTTGTCTTATCATGTAATTCTAGTATGCGACCCTATATATCTTATGATATCATGTTCTTAATTATGCCTATGGATGGGACATGTATGATAAGAATGAAAGATATGTCATGTACACGTAAGCATGTCTCATAAAAAAGCTATGATGTCATGAAAATGCACATAACCATGTACCATTTTATAAAAGTTAGTTTCATAGTTGCTAAATATTTCTCACTACCATTTATTTCACATAATTAAAAAAAAAAAAAAAAAAATTAGGACAAAGGAGAAATTTCAACTGAGCATGACTTCAATTGAACATTCTCAATTAGCAGCGGATCCTCACGAAAGTCACCTCCAATGCTTTTTGCTGCCTTAGCCAGCGAAGCACATGGCGGCGGATCGACATCACTACTAAATCCCTCAATTTCAATACAGTTCCACTGCAACTTTTTAGACTTCTTCAACAATCCAATCTTCACATTCGAAACACATATATCTGTGAATGAATCTCCTGAAATTCCCGCCAAATTTGTCAACATTGTAACATTCTCGGCCACCACGTCTCTGTAATTAATGTTCTTAATCTCTGGCAACGCCGAGGGATCGAATTTATCATTCGCATGATCTTTGTAGTCTTCAGCAATCCAAAAGACATATTTCATCATGGATAGAAACATTCTTTGGACGAAAATGTCCTTGACGAAGCCGCCACGTTCTCGAGCGGTTTTGATTCTGACAGCAGATTCTGTGTTGATTGCAGTGACGTTTTCAATCCTAACGTTACGGATTTCGCCGGACATTTCGCTACCAAGGGCGATACTTGCGGAATCTGGTGAGATGCAAGTGAGGTGACGAATGACGAGGTCCTCGATCAGCATTCCAAATTTGATACCATATTCGTCCCATCCGCTCTTAATGGCGATGCAATCGTCACCAGAAACGATGTAGCAGTCTTCTATTCGAGTGTTGGAATAGGAATCTGTGAAATTGAATGGAGAATTAAGTAGAGGGATGATGGAAAAAAAAGAAGCCCAAGATTTTGAAGGTGAAGAAGTAGGGAACCTGGATCGATTCCGTCAGTGTTGGGTACAGTGACTGGAGCCAAGATGGTGAGCCCTTGGATAATCACATTCCTACTATAGACTGGATGGACGAACCAAGGAGAGTTGATTAAAGTGAGATCTGAGATTTGGATTTGATCAGAGTACATGATCTTGATCATGTATGGTCGTGTTACGTTGAGCTCCCCTTTGTGAAATTTATCCCACCAATAAGATCTCTGTCCATCAATCGTGTCGTTGTTACCTACACCATGTCACCAATCCAATTTTATTTCTCTATAATTATTTCTAACCATGTTTTTTTTTTAAAAAAAAATGTTAAAAGGTAAAGAAAAAAAAAAAACCACATGTGATAACAACATTGGTAAGATTAGTTCCAAAGACGAGGCTGTTGTACCGTCCACCACGGGCATCCCTTCTCCTCCCATAAGATGGGAGAACTTTCACAAGTGGCCATTCTGATTCATTCTGCACCGTTAGATTATGAAAAACAAATCTAACTAAGTTTTAGCATGTGATGCAAGAATTGTAGCTTCTTTCTCAATAAAAAGTGTGAAATGGCTTGTCAGGTTAAAACTTCTTGTCAGCCATTTTCCTGGAGGTACGACCAATTGTGCACCGTCATCCGCTGCCAGTGTGCTGAGATGTTCAATCGCTTGCCGGAACGCATGAGTATTTGAAGTTACTCCATCACTGACGTTGTCAAACTCTGTCAGCAACGTCAAGTATTTTCGGCAATTGATCGCCTGAAATTCCACAGAGTTCGAACTCAGACGCGGATTCATGGCGTCCATGGTGGCTAAGTTCACCAATACAATCATAGTCGAGATTCTCATTGCGATAACCTGTCCGAAAAAACACAAAAGACGATTCGATTTCATTTTGTTTCTAAAAAAAATAATGGTGGAAAATGAAGTTGAGTTTATTGGTTCATCTTTTGTTACGTTCGTTTTTATGAGGGAAAATTTTTATAGAATAATTTAGGAATTAAAAATAGGAAAGGAATTTATTAAGGGTGAAAATTAGGTTGTAAATGTAACCGTTGAATTTACAAGAATAATAGTAAAATAAAGGACAATACAACGTTGTAAAGAATGACAACACACGTGTAAAAAAACATAAAGAGGGTAAGGTTTTTAAATTTGGCATCTTGTTTTGGTTCTTTCTTTGTTTTTTTAAAATTGTTTTATAAATCTTAGGGTAAGTATCGTGGTTTTAAAATAATTACCCCTAAGAATGGGATCAAACAATTAAATTCATATTTAAAAATAAATTATTAAAATTTTATTTTTACTAAATACAATTTTTTTTAATAAATTACTACTTAAATATTTTATGGTTCGATCGATTAAGCTAAGCTGATGAATACACTTATGACCTTGATGTTGCTATGTTATGACACACTAACTATGCATGGAATGTGAGTGTTATGACTATAAAGGTGGAAGGAAATTCCTCTACGTGTTCCGACGAGAATACCGACGGTTCCGACGACGTTTCTTCAGCCTCCATAGGGGTTTGCCTTTTGAAGTTTTAGTATAACACTTCCGAAATACTTTCTAAACCCCCAAAAATCAACAATCTTTGTGAAGTAGAAACCCACGATTTTCTTCTCAAAACCCTCTCTGTTTTCTCTCTTGATCTCAGTTAAAAACACATAAAAGTAAAACGATCGAATGAGGGTTGAGAGGTTTGAGCATAGAGAAACTTAAAGGGATTGGGAAACGCTCCCGAATCTGGAGTAATTGTCACGATCCAATTTTTGAGGCTTCGAAACTCGAATCGAGACTAAAAAGACGAGCAAAAAAAACAATAATATAAATAAAATGGAAGATAAAAAAATTGAATAAAATTTAAATCAAAAAAAAAAATCTCAAATTAAATACAATTATAAGACGTGCGGTTCAAAATATTACAAACGGAAACTAAGTTTGGAATACAATTATAAAACAAAATATAAAAGTCTCCAAAATGTAAAAATGGAGTAACACTCCAAAATGACCCCTCTTTAACCACACCGCTCTCAATGCTCCTCCACCTCATCCCACCACTTCAAACACCCGAAAAAGAGAGGGAGAAGGGTGAGTATAAAAATACTTAATAAGCAACCTATTTGTAGGCTCTCATCGCATCCTTAACCTAGTAAGTATGTATGGGCTTTACTCAGGACTCTAAGAAGTCGGCCTAGGCTACACTGCTATTTGAGTAATTGGGTACCCTGATGTTTCGAGCGGGTCTCTAAACTGAAGCGTACCCCTAGGGGTATATGCTAGTTTCCCAATCTTTCTTTTCTACGACTTAGGTGGCTTGGCTTGCTCATGCAGTAAATGACTAGTGTACTGGGTTAAAGCGCGATCTTATAAACTGCGAGATAGTATGGTTGGATTTGAATCTGAACATCATCCATAGAGGTTAGCTGACGAGCCCTCCCACGGGACCACAATCCTCTATGTACCGATCAACTACTAGGTCATCCTATGTGGTCCCACGCTCCCAAGCTTAGGGACAGATTTACAACAAAAAGGTCATGTTCAAGAGACCCTTGGTCATTTCTACTACGTTGAGGCACGTGTCACATTACCCTAAGCGGTGACGCTTAGCTCCACAGTATGAAAAACAGAGTAGAGTCTCGATGGTATAGTACTAGAGAAAAAAGGGTAGTGGACAAATTAGTGACACTATTCACACTGATATAGACGCTCGAGCTTAGCTCCTTAAGGATAATCCAAATCTCTAGGTACACTTAGGTCTAAACCAAGTGTCTAGGTACACTCAGGTCTAAACTTCTAATCTCCACTCGTGATCCTGAGGTTATGGGTCTACTGGAAATGTTTTGACCTAGGTTATCGTGTAAACTGCACTAGCTGTAGTGCCTTAATCTTAACTAAGTCCTCTCATGCATGCTTTATTAGGGAGATATACCTATCGATCACCTAAGCATGTAATCCATAATTTGAACTTTTCCTTGGTCACATTTGGGAGCCGAGGAGGTTTATTGGATTCCTAAGGTGGCTAGGTGGATTAATGGGAAATTTTGGCTCTAGGTTGCTCTACTCCGACATCTCGAGTCTTTCTTAGTCTTAGAGCACTAGAGTCTAGACCCTCTAACCGTCGCTCACAATCCTAAGGTGCTCAATTGGGTCATCATCTGAGGCATCCAGTCTAGGGTCATCATCTAGCCAACCAAACTCTAACGCCCTAGCTCTGTGCAGATAAACACGTTTTACAGGAAGAATACATAGTCAAACACCTGGAGCTAACACAAACTATATCATGCATACATACAAGCAAACATGCTAAGCAGGGAGATAACATCCATCAATCACTCGAAGCATAGATTACAATAGTTCATCCTCCTTTTCAACACAGCGGAAAACATATAAAACAACATTATCACAAATCTCATCATAGGGACATTTTGGTCATTTCTTACATCATGCATAACATACTCATCCATGTTGCCCAACTCCTATTTTAGTCTTGCAATTCCTGTTTCTAGCTTTTCATAATATATAAAATAACAGGCTTCTCGGAAATCTCAACCTAGGGACATAATGGTAATTTTACCATAACATACATACAATACATACTCATCCAAAAACTCCCTTCTGAGGTCCATAACATGCATTTTCTAACCACCTAAGATAAGAAATGCTCGCAGGCTAACACATCCTAGAAATTCCTACAAATATTACTTTCATAAAATCCATGTGGTGACTTACTTGGATGACTAGATGACGTGTGACTTCCCAAATTAGCTTTTCCACATGCTAGGAACTCCAAACCTTCTGAAATTTCTCTTATAAGTCCTAATTCAAGTAAATTTAGGGTTAGTAAAATTTGAATGAATAGCTGATAAATGAAGGTCAAACAGCGCAAAAACACCTCTTACGAGCTATCACCTTCACATTCGAGTCCTACGTCAAATTTTTTTTATTTCCTAACCAATTTTTTATTCTTTTCTATTTTATATAAATTTTTATAACTTTCTCTGTACAAAATTAATTGAGTCCAAAGATCATAAAAAACTAAAAACTTACCAAAATTTTCATTTTCAGGACGTTCGTCGAAATGCCACCTTCTGGTCTGAATCAACTCTGAATTCTTTCATGAAACTTGTGTAGAACTTAAATCCAAGAAAAACTCTAAAATTCAAATTCGATTTCGACGACCTTCCATAAAATCATAGAAGTTTGATTTTAAAAGGAAAAAAAATTGAGTTTTTAATATTTCGAACCCTTCAAAATTTCTTTCCACCTAAATTGAATCTTGAATCTTGAATCTTTTAGTGTTATTGAACTAGCAAGGGAACTTTATGGCCTTCCAATATATGTTGCAATTATACAAAATTAATTAATTGAACTTTTTAATTAATCAATTTCATTTATTAACAGATAGGTCAGACCTATAGTTTAACTCTAATGTATAGGACAAATCGTGTCCATTGATATAATCCTTATAAGCAATTCAATGATTCACAAGTTGTTTGTAATTACAGTTGTGTCATATGTTTTCATCTCCTTGTTTGGTCAAGTCTCCAAAATGTTTGGCATAGTGAATCGTCTACCAAAGTCATTCCCACTCATATAAATCAAATGACAAATCCTCACATGCAAGAGTTCATTGCTCACTCAGGATTAAGATAGAGTCGTATATGATTATATTGTAAAATATTAATCTTCTGGACAAATCCTCACATGCAAGTGTTCATTGCTCACTCAGGATTAAGATCGAGTCGTATATAATTATATTGTGAAATATTAATCTTCTCAATTAACGGATTTATAAAGAGAGATTAAATATTTTGTGATCTAGTCTTATATAAACTCATTGTATCCGATACCCCAATAACATTCTTCTACGTAAACGATTTGAATCAAATAATTTGTAACAATTATAAAGTGAGTCGTATCAATAGTGCTAACAAGATAAGTCACTCAACTTTATCCATATGAACATGATACTTTTGTATGTCAACTACATATTGTCCAAGAAGAGCACCAAAAGTTATAGTAAGATTCACATGCCCACTTGAGATGTTGATACTCGCCGCAACCGAAGACTGTGTTGTACAAAATGCCAGAACCAAAAAATGTTATGATACCCAATTGTTGTAGCGGAAGCCGTGGAAACAAGATCATTGCACTCACACATGTTAGGTTATGGAGTCTACTCTCTTATTTATAGCTTGGTCAATGGTTATATCTGGTAAAGTTATATTTGGTAAAGTTATATCCGGGAAAGCTATATATGGTAAATAGCTATATACAGTAGATGGTTAAATCTGGTAAAGCTATATATAGTAAAATGAACTATATATATATACATCTCGTCCGATAGAGCTTTGAAAATATACTTTCTGTATTCTCTGTATTCTCTTTTACTGTACATACTTGAAGTCATCAATATAAATCCTTTAGCCAGTGTTCTCCTTGAATTTTTGCTATCTTGTTCTTTGTGTTCATCTAGATCGAGTGTGTGCGTTGTTGTGCGATCCCAACAACTGGTATTAGAGCTAGGCGAAATTCACCACGATCTGTGAAGATGGAAAGTTCAAAGATTGGAATTGAGAAGTTCGATGGATCCGATTTCGGTTTCTGGAAGATGCAGATTGAAGATTATCTATACCAGAAAGATCTTCACGAACCCCTGTTGGGGGCGAAGCTGAATACCATGACCACGGAACAGTGGAAGCTCAAGGATCGACAAGCCTTGAGCTGATTCGGTTGACGCTATCCAGAAACGTGGCGTTCAACATTATCAAGGAGAAGACAACGTCAGATCTATTGAAGGCGCTGTCAAATATGTATGAAAAACCGTCGACTATGAACAAGGTGTATTTGATGCAGAGATTGTTCAATCTACAGATGTCTGAAGATGGATCTGTTGCTGATCATATAAATGAATTCAATATGGTCGTAAGTCAACTGAGTTCGGTGGAAATTAATTTCGAAGATGAAATTAAAGCGTTGATTTTGATGTCATCTTTACCCGAGTCATGGGATACTGTTGTTGCCGCAATCAGCAGTTCCCGAGGATCTGATAAACTGAAGTTTGATGAAATTCGAGATGTAGTTCTTAGCGAAAATATTCGCAAACGAGAAACTGGAGATTCATCAGGCAATGTTCTCAGTGTTGATCGAAGGGGAAGAAGTAAATCAAAAGCTCAAACAAACATGGGCGATCAAAATCAAAGAATGGGGGAAAATCTTCAAACAAACCCAACGTAACGTGTTGGAGCTGTGGGGGAAAAAAACACTTTCGAACAGACTGTACAAAACTGAAGAAGAAGCAGAATCATAAATCTGAAGATGATGATGATTCTATATATACAATAGAAGATATTGAAGACATTTTAATCCTTAGTGTGGATAGCCTAGTTGATTCCTGGATTTTGGATTCAGGTGCATCGTTCGATTTGTCTCTAAATATAAGGAATTGTTTCGAAATTTCAAATTAAGAAATTTCGGAAAGGTGTATCTTGCCGACAACAAAACCTTGGAGATTGAAGG